TAATTATCACCACCATTTGTATCAAGATTACTGTAGAATATAGTCTAGTGTAGTATAGCAAAACAGGTGGTCTAGCCAGTTTGAGGCCTCCCCCATTCCTACATTCCTCCCTTCCAAACTTTCGCAAAAACATCTTGCTTGCCTTTTAATTTTTTTCCTCTGCTAAGCCTGATTTCCTTAAAACTTCTGAAGGCAGGCTACTTTCTTTCTTAACTGAAAATGCTTTCTTAACTGAAAAAGCCAACCCAAAATTGAATCTGATAGCCAATCCAGAATTCACTGGATTTTTGTCAAAAAGTCCAATTTTGAGGTTCAAGCTAAGGTAAACCTGCCCCTTCTCTTCCAGTGTGTCAACATTTGGTTCAAGAACGTATCTGCAACCCATGGATACTCGACAGTATCTTTACTGTCTTAAACCAAAGCAAGAGTTTGCAGAGAAAGCTGGCGTTATTAAAGGTGTGACAGTCATTGGAAAGCTGGATATAGTATGGAAGACAAACTTGGGCGAAAGGGGAAGGTTGCAAACCAGTCAGCTCCAACGAATGGTAAGTATTTTTCAGAAGATTCTCTTTAAAGACAGAAGGGAAATAGTGAAGAGCCTGTGCAGATAGTTTACCTCTGAATATCAGGTGCTGGGAGGAAAATTTAGAAATTGTAAAAACAATATTGGAGTAAATAGACGTTGATGTGATCCATTGGGATTCTTCCCAAGTTCTCATTAATATTACAATTCATAAGACCAGAAATATATATACAGCACTTTTGCTGGAACATAGAACAGACTGTTTTCAGCGCTCCCCACCCCAAATACGGAATTTGATTCCAAGTGAGATCGGGTATATTTCCTCCCTTGCTAGCTGTAAACATGCCTTTTTTACATCATTTTTTTTTAATCAGGGTCTTTGGGGCCAATGCTAATTACCGTATTTTTTGTTCTATAAGACACACCAGACCACAAGACGCACCTAGTTTTTGGAGGAGGAAAACAAGAAAAAAAAAATCTGAATCTCAGAAGCCAGAACAGCAAGAGAGATCGCTGCGCAGTGAAAGCAGCAATCCCTCTTGCTGTTCTGGCTTCTGGAATAGCTGTGCAGCCTGCATTCACTCCCTAAGACGCACACACATTTCCCCTTACTTTTTAGGAGGGAAAAAGTGAGTCTTATAGAGCAAAAAATACGGTATTTGGGGAATGACCATAGCTCAGTGATAGAGCACCTGCTTTGCATGCAGAAGGTTCTAGACATCACCAGGCACAGCTGTGAACGTCCCATCTGAAATTTGCTTTTGGTCAGTGTTGACAATACTGCACTAGATTGACCAATATCCTGACTCATTCCAAGGCAGCTCCCTCTTTCATGCTGCTCTTTGAGAACTAGATGGCTTATTTTGTTGTTACGCTGGCTTGTATGTTCCTGGGATGAGACTGCCATAACTTGTTTTACTACTGAATGTTGTGGATTAATGTTTGTCTGTGGTGGCAAACTGCTTTGCCAAGTAACTTTGCCTAAAAAGTGGTCTAAACCTGTTTAATTAAATATCAACATATGGTTAAATAGAACACTTCTTGAAAGCGGTGGCTTGTGCACTCATAAGGAGAAAAGGCTGTAGAGGTTTTACTCAAGAGTAGACCTATTGAAATTAATGCACCTAAATCATGTTCTTTAATCTCAGTGGGTAAAACTTACTTAATTGCTATCCAGAATTGTACTGTAAATCTCAGTTTTTATGTTTGCTTTCTGAAGATGTTTGAGGTTGCTCCTGTTCATAAAAATCCAAATGAGGACTCCCAAGTACATCAGCATAAACATGAAATTTGTAATGTTACATAAACTCCTCCAGAATGTCATCCTACGATTCACTTGTGGTGCCCTTCAGATGTTGTTGTGAATTATAACTTCCATCAGTCCTAGCCACAATAGCCCATTGCTGAGGATGGTAGAAAGTGGAATCCATCGGAAGGGGACCACAATGGCCATTTCTACTCTAGTACTACTGCTTGTCTCATCTCCCCACCTCCAGCCTCTCTCTCTCTCTCTTTCTTTTGGTGTGGGTGTACCTTGCTAAACTTTTAATGCTTTCTTAGGCTCCAGGTTATGGTGATGTCAGGGTTTCGTTGGAGACAATTCCGGACACTGTAAACCTGGAAGAACCGTTTGATATTACATGTAAAATAACAAACTGCAGGTAATGAAATTACTTCCCCTCCTGCCATCTCTATTTTTTAAGAATTGTAGTTTGAACTGCTTACCGTTTCCAGTCAAAGGGGTAGGTTTTGTAGAGATAATTCACTACACTTTTGTAGAGATAATGTTTTAGATGTATTAAAATACTGCTTGCATTCAAGGTTTTCCTTACTGCAGGAATATATAATTACTTTTAAGGTGATGGAAAGGGTTTGTTTTTTTAAATGAACATTCCTAGATATATATAATTCTGCCCCTCACTTGCTGAGATACAGTGGACAAAGCAGATTTTAGAATTCCAAAAATATTTGTGGTTTTTATTGAGGGAGAGGAGACAGAGGCAGTGACCTAGTTGGTCCTATGTGCTGAAAAAGATGTGTGTATTTGTATTATATAAGGACTTCATTTTTAAACCATTTTATTTTAAAAACCATTTATTTTTAATAATCAGAATAATAATTTAAAAGAAATACATGTTTTAATTATCATGCTGGATCCTGTTGGGCAATTACTAAGCCGCAGGTTTGTTGGAAGCATTAAATGATATAACCACCGCATGCATCACCCTGTAACCTTTTCTTTCTAACCATAGAAAGAAGGCAGCAAAGAAAAAGAAAAACACATGAACTGGTGTGAACTGGCCCTTAGACAAATTGAGATCTATGTTAATTTATTATTCTTTTCCATCCAGCAGTGAAAGAACCATGGATCTGGTTTTGGAAATGTGCAACACTAATTCCATTCACTGGTGTGGGGTGTCAGGAAGGCAGCTGGGCAAACTGCACCCCACTTCATCCCTACACCTGACACTTACGCTGCTTTCATCTGTGCAGGGACTACAGGTAAGATCTCCCACTTGGGCATTGAAATCCTATATGGGGTTGGAGGGAGTAGCTGTTGGACTTGTGTCTGTACTGCAAAAGGCTGGGGTATGATTTCCTTTCCTCTGTCCCCTGTCCTTTAAAGGGCAGACCACCTTCTCCACCCATGGAGGGAAACTGAAAAATCCAATCGCCCTGGAATATCTTTCCAAGAATGGCGGCATGGGGTCCTTATAACCTATATAAGGTGATACTGTTGAGTTATAGGGCTCTTACGACCAGTTCAGAAGCCTGTTAGGTTTCACATTGTCAATCTTTTTTTCTCCCCCTTTCATTTTAGACTGTCTCTGGCTTGAGATTAACAGACACCTTTCTGAAGAGAACGTACGAGTATGATGATATTGCACAAGTCTGTGTAGTTTCTTCCAAAATAAAAGAAAACTGAAAGTGAACCCTTTTCGTTTTAATATTTCCTATTTTGGTTTTTGGACCCAACCCTCTGGAAATTTACTACAACCATCTGCAATCCAAAAAAGAATTTCTTTATTTAACTGCCCCTTTGGAATTCAATCTGGCATCTTTGGAATGTTTTTAAAAAAACAGTTTATTTGTGAAGAGCCAACCATATGTATTTTAAACTATTTGGAAATAAAGCCCTTAGTCCAATTATGCAGCTGCCCTAATTATTACTTGTATAACTCATTTAATGATACTTGCAACATGGCATGTAGTATCTGGATAAATGACTCTTAATCTGTATTGAGGAAGGGTGCAAACTATTTCATGCACGCTGATGTTCATAGGAAAAGCAGTGGCTAATTCCCAATCTCGCACCCTACATTAAAACAGGATTCTCTACATCTAGAAATACAGCATATTTTACAAATGTTTTTGGTGGTCATATATTAGGGATTTAATTCACCATGTAATAAAGAGGTGTGGGGAACCAGGGTGATCTGAGTACAGAGTCAGTGAAGCGCCATTTGGACCATAAGAGCCATTCAAACCGAACATCCATCTGGTCCAGGGATGAGGAATCCTGTTGCTGGACTACAACTCCCATCATCACCAACCAACAGCTATGCTAGCTGGGCTGATAGGTGTTGAAGACCAACAACATATAGCAGGTCCCATGCTCCCCATCCCTGATGTAATCCAGCATTCTATTCACAGTATACAACCTGATGTCTCTGGAAAGTGTGCTAGTGGCACTTGGAGGCAAGAGTTCTCTGGAGCTATTACTCCCCAGCAACTAGTATCTGTACTTAGAAGCATGCTGTCTTTGAACTTTGGAGGCTGTGTACAGTTTGAAGGCTGCTGCAACTACTTTGCAAGGCACTGTAGGGATGAAATAGCTCAGATTCTGACAGAAATTGGAAAGAGTACGGCTGATACTTTCATTGTATAGTGTTCATCACATGCTGAAAAGGTACCTCTTTACCCGGCCTTTGACATCTGCCTGATGTTTTAACTACTTTTAATATTGTATTTTTACATTGCTGCAACTGGACTCTGGGGCCATAAAGACGAGTGCAAAAGGAAATGCAAAAATCAATTAGTGAAGAATTTCTCCTGTTTTGAATTATTTCAGTAAAAACCAGACTAGCAACCCAAGCATCTAGCAAGACACTGCAGTGGTTGTTGCTGGCATATCCCTCCATATAGATGTCTCCCACAAGTATCACTGCTAGCAGTGAAGCAATATTTTAGTTTGCATTCCATATGGCTAACTCACCAGAATGCCAACATAAGTCTTTGAATGATACACAGTGAGGATTTATTGTATTAAATCAGCCCTTAAACACACTTAAAAGGAAACTATAAGCGCAGGATTCAACTGCAAGGCTGTTTCTTCCTTAATGCTGCAGATAGGGAAAACTAGTTTTATTAGCAGGCAGAAACCCCTAGAAACAGTCCTAGTTTAAAACCAATTTGTACAATAAAGTCAATTTCTTCATGAAACAAGAAATGGGAAGTAAAAACTATACAGACAATGTTGGAAAACAGTAAACTATTCTTTATTTTAAGTGTTCTTTTATTAAACTTATTCCAAACAACACAAGACTGATCCAAGAATCATCTATGGAAAACTGAAGAACAGATTCAGGTGTGAATAGCTGCTACCTAAAATGTTACCTGGAATGTGCATTTTTATTTGGGAAACAGTCTGCCTGATCTAACAGTGTGAAAAGGCTAGTTGTTTGCCATAAATGCAACACTTTCTGCTGTTTCAAACACATCTTATCTGGTTAGTTCACTGAACATCTGAACGGGTGCTAATCAGCAACTTAAATATGGGGTGGTAGCCATGAAGGAGATTGCATCTCTGATCATACTTTTGAAAACACTATCTTGACTGGTTAAATCAGCACTGGACTATTTCTACCCAGTGAGTTCAGGACACCAGTGTATAGCTACCACCATTTCTAATTAATTTAAATGTTAATTACTCAAAAGCAATTTAATGAGTAGTTTGCATTGTACCTTTATACTGCAAGCTTTATATTCCATATTTTCAGTACTCTAATTACACTTGCTCAGCAGCGACTCCTACTTCTGAATGAAAATATGCTTGAAGCACTGTCCTAATGCCAATAACCAGACACCCAAGGTACTTGAGAACTCGGAAAAGGACAGGTCAATGGGGACCAAGTATATTGAAAAACAAAGGTCAAAGACTGCTGCTTTGTAGAGCGAGTAGCTGAGGAAAAAGTCAAATGTTAACAGCACTGCAACAGACTCTTTGTGCTCTCCCACCTGCTCAGCATTCTGAATATCCTCCAATGAACTACTTCCTGAATGTGGCAATATATTGTTAGCCTGAAAGTCTCTCTCGTTATAGACTTTCTAAATTGGTTCTGCAGAAATGCATAAGTATGTTTGGTTGGAATTACAGTATAAAAAATATAGTGACAGGAGGTGCGTACAGGAAGGAAGAGGCATAAAGACAACAGCAACAAATAAAAATTCAGAACAAAGGCAGAACTAAAAGGGGATAACAAAAAGCTGACTTCAGATAATCTACAACATACATACTGTATTAACTTTCTGCTGTCAGATTTCCCTTAAGACAGTTTCTAATGTGCAACCAATACGTGGTTACATAAACCACAGATTACGTAAACAGGCACATGACAACTACATTGAATAGATAGTATGAGCATATAACTCATCTCTTTATAAAAACATGGTGTCATTCCATCAAAGTTTTCAGAGCTATCTCCAGGGTAAAATCTTGGGTTCTGTGTACGCCAGAGAGACTATTTCTGCATATTACTGGGAAAGCTTTCATCCCCATCTTTTGTTCTAATTCTACACTGCTTTTTCCTCAACACCCCTTGGTGCACCTTTTCCGGCTAGGGCTTCTAAAATTCTCCCCACTATCCATCCATTACAAACTGATAAGGAGACTGAGAATCACCTATTGCTCAATCACAAGTCTTAAATATGGCTTTCGTAATTTCCTTCTCCTTGCTCCTCTCAATACATTCATTGCAATGCAGAACTGCTGCTGTGCAAGTCCTGTCTATTAAGACAAGTATAGCAAAGAAGGAGGCCAAGTGTCCCCTTTTACATCTAGCCCAAGCTGCCCTCTAAGAAATGTTTCCAATTATTTCACAGTAGTGCTCCCTTTGAAAACTTAGTAGGTACTACCTGCTTGTCAGCCTACATGCTGTACCTCTTTCCCTGTACCTACGCATAGGCCCGTAAATTCTGCACAGCTTAAATCTTTCTGGTCCAACTCCTACAAGACAGACCCATTTATTTCTCCCCCAGCTTAGGGCTTACTCACCCTCTTTCCATCTCCCACCACAACCTCTTAGTCTGAAGCAACTCCAACAATCAGACCTATTGCTCTCCTTCCTTTCAAAAACCCCAGTAATGACCCACAATGTGGAAAAAAGCAGTCTTCACTTTATAAGCTTATAAAGTAAGAAATGCAACATTAGACATGCAAAATTGTTTTCGCTTGCCACAGCCTTGTCTCTGGGGCAGCGGCAACCCTTCAGTTTTGAGGAAAGGCTGCCTTATTTAATATATTTTGAATACAGATTTTACATAGGACTGACTAGCCTATCAAGCATTATTACTCCACAAGTAATATTATGTCACCACAAGTGGGTGATCTCTTTCAACGCACAATCCTAGTGCAAAAAATCCACTCTCTTAAAAGAGAACGAAAAATTGCATGCTTTTGTGCATTGATACGAAAATGCTGCCTTATATGTAAAGATTTTAATCTGTCACCAGTTTTATTTATAGTCCATTTACAAAGGCATCAATATACATACATGATATGTTCACATCTGTGTGCAATGAATCTGTTTTCAACAGACGATAAGGAATACACACAAAAGGATTTCCAGTCTCATGTCTGAGAAGAATTACAATGGTGATATTTGCTACTAGCTACAGTATGCCTTTTGGAATTAGTAAAACAGTGTTCTATCACATGCTGCTTTTAATCAGGAATGCTCTTCAGTGCTGCCGCTGAAAGATCTGCTTCGAACGTGGTTCCGCAGCTGCTCTATGAGTTCCGGGTTTTGCTGCTGTATCTGCTGTGCAAACTGCTGCCCTCTGTACAGAAATTTTTGTTTTTATTTTACAAAGATCAGTAAACGAGGGGAAGCCACTGTTGTGCTGTACTCAAAACACAGGAAGCCAAAGCTCAAATTAACTCTCCAACTGAAAGAAAGTACTAATCAGACAGCCCATTTGCCCTAAGCTGAGAAAAACATGAAATAATGAAAGCTGCTCTTCATTTTGCTGAAAAGACAGGGAAAGCACAGGCCCAATGCTCAAACGAAGGATCAGAACATAGATGTGAAGCTGTAACCAGCGACGGCAACAGAAAACAAGAACTACTAAGTCAGCCCCCTTTAAAACAACTTAAAAATAGACTCTTTTCAATATTCCATTGGTCCCTAAGCCCTGCCCAACCTTTAAATTCAGTGGGTGAGGCCTTGCTAATGGTGTCATGTGTTAGGTATTAAACTACCAGTAACAGGGCCTTCAGAGTGGTTACACCAGCTCTGCAAAATTCTGTACCACTAATCATTAAAGGGACACGTTCTATTTTCAGTTTCAGGAGCCCAATGAAGACTTTTCTATTTAACCAAGCTTTCATCAACTGAACGGAACAACTAGTTTTGCCTGTGGCTGACATTGTTGATAATGAAGGAATTTTATATGCTGTTTGATACTGTTTTAGTGTACTCATGTCCTAATATACTTCTTACATATTTGCAAGCATAATACTGCTTGAACATTCTTATGGACAAGCAGTCTATAAAATTTCATATGAATAAAAAGAACCTCATAAATAAATCATTTCCATAAATATTAACTTGCAATTGCAGTATGTACGTCACTTACGCATGTATGAGACTTGACAGATCAGTGAGGCCACCAACACCTGCCGCAGGGCCCCCTATAGCATTTGTCATCATTCCCGACATCCTAAGGATTTTAGATACATGGAGAAATATAGGCATTAGAGTGGGTGTATGTGTGTGAGAGAGAGAGAGAGTGAGAGAGAGATATACATTTATCAAGTGTTCTCTGCCATATTATATAAAGAAAATAAGCTACAAGTAAATGTAGCTGTCGCTCTGGGAAGGACGTCAATTGGCACAACTTTCCCTTGCACAAATCCAATTAAAACAACCGGGAGTTTTAGAAGGCACAGCTGATCTCTTGCACAATTCTGAGTCATTGCAATGGGGATCTGTGCTTGAGAAATTCCTGTTGAATTCTTCCGAATAACAATAAAATATTTTGCTGATAAAAGTATGATTTGCTAATAAAGTATTGGTCTTCTGCACCTCCTTTAATCTATTCAATGTCTGTTCATGTATTATGTTGTCTCTGAGATCCCAGTGTCAGTTTTGATTCTAGGGTCTTAAGCCTCTTCTTCACCTATCTGCAGCACACATAATATTTAACAGATTTTTGCTCTTGGCAATCCCTGAATTGCTGCTTATTACTAGCAAGAAAAATGATTAATGACTTTTTAGCCCTAGGGAGTGCCTTCTGCAGGGGTGGGGGGAGGGAAGGAACAGGTGTGCCCATGATGTGAAAACTGCTAGTTCAGAGTCCCCACCCCCACCCCCCCATATCCTCTATGGTATGCCAAAGACCTTTTCACTTATGTCTTTCAACAGAGACTCCATTCTTAGTTCATACTTACAGTTGCTGAACTTGAGGATTCTGCATTAAACTCGCTGCCTGAAATAGATGAAATGCCTTGAGTTGTAATGCAGCCAGTGTTTAGCCCATAGCACAGTGAATAAAGAGGAGGCTTGAAATTCCACAGCATTGTGAACAGAGGTCAAATCTTTGACGAACCCTAAGCTGCCTGGCAAGCAAATGCCTTGGGCTCGATCCAAACCTGCTGTTTTGCAAACAGTAGGGCTTTCTCAATTTGCAGAAGCGACCTGGATCCAGTGGAAGCTCCTGCTAGAGGAAAAGGGACGAGGCAATTTTTGCCAATTTCCCTTGCCCTCTCCGGCTCCAAGAGCCACCTCCCACACTGTTCTGGAAGATGTTCCAACATTCTGGAGCAGGTTTTCAGGTAGCATAGGGGGGCTTTAGGGGGTGTGGCGTTTGCCTCCTAGGTGGCTCATAAGGAAAGGGTTAAAATGAGTGTGATGTGATTGGCCAGTGGAAACTGATAGAGTTAGAGGGGGAGTTGTGTGAAAGTCAGTTGAGAGTTGGGAGTTGAAGAAGGAGGAGGGAGGAATAGTCTGTGGGTTGGTCGAGTTGTGTGGTGAGAGAGTGAGAGGAATTATTAGGTGGAGTCACATAGTTAGTTGGGATAATCAGTTTGAAGTTGTTAGATACGAATAGGGCAGTTAAGGAACTAAGATTAAGAAACTGCCAAGAAAAATTAACTGAAACCATAAGCTTGTTCATGCCTATAAAATAAACTTGATTATTTGTTAATGTTACCAACTGACTGGACTCTGTGTGTACCCGTGAGAAACGGGTTGGTGGCAGCAAAGAAAGCAATTACAGTGGTGGCACAGGGTCAATAGACCGTCAAACGTCCGGGGGCCCTGTGTGATCGCCACAGGGGGCAACAGGCAAAAACTGCATCTCCCTCCTTCTCTTCTGCCTATGAGAGCACCCAGTTGGCAGTTGGCAGAGTTCCATTCCAAACATCTCTGGATCCAACACCTTATGGGGTCTCAGTTTTGAGAGGCTCATAGAAAACCTCATTTTATCAGGATATACAATGTAGGTCCCGTTTCTAAGCAGCCATAAGACCCTCCCCAAAACTATTGTGAAATGCATTCCAAAGACTTAGGAGCAGAATTCATTATAGCAAAACAAAAGAATCAGTGACAATCTGCCATGGGGTTTGTCAGCATTGAATAAGAAGAGTTGAGGTTTCTAAATTGCTCTTCAGGAGAGCAGAATAAGACATGAAACAGAAGGAGGACCTGAAAAGGAAACCACAAAAATTAATTTTAAATGCACTTACCATGCTAATGAAGGCAGGGTTGTTTATCAAGCTTGCCATGTCAAAACTTAATCCAGTTCCAGTCTGAAAATTAAATATACACATCAATCCTGTACAAAGTAGCACCGAGTCATTACAATAGTTGAATAAATAGTTTGAAAGCCAACTTACAGGACTGGACATGTCTCTTAGCTTCTGTTCGGCTATTTTCAGATTTGACTTATAGGAGTCATTTTCCGGATCAAGGTCCAGTGCTTTTCGATAGCTGTTAATTGCTTCTTGGTATTTGTTCATTGAAGTCAGAGCCAATCTGATACGAACAAAGGAAGCCAATGTGAAAAAGCCAATCTGAAAGAGTATTTGAATTTTCTGATCTAATTCGCATTGATTTAAATGAAAAAAATGTAAATGCTGCTTAAATTCTAAGGAAGTAGACTCTAGTCCACAAAACGTTTAAGACATAATAAGTCTGTTTTGGCTTTGAGGTGTCAGGGAACTCCCAGCAGTGAACTAGAGTGTTGCCTACCCTACACTGACTGGCTGGTGTCCATTGAGACTAGCAGAGCGGGAGGCAGGAAGCCCAACAGTAGCTGAAACCAGAACCAATGTCAAGCAGAGCCACCTTCTGACTGGTTGTAAGTAAGACGGCAGACAGATGGGGGCAGGGTGAGGTTGGTGGGGCAGTACTTCATTCAGTGCCAGTGCCAGACTATTCTGTGCTCTAGACAAGACAAACTACTTGCACCCCCCCAAAAAAAGAAGTTAACTTCAATTTTCAAAAACAGATGCCTTGTATAAATGATAAAATTCTTCAAAATATAAAATAAAACTAAAGTCGTATGAGAAATTTATAGCAAGCCTGCCACTTACTTGCATTTAACTTGTGTGCATTTAGCTTTTCATGCTTGACAAAAAATATTTTAAAAGGGGGCAGGGTTCTAGGAATAAAGTAAGTGCAGCAATTTTTAAAATGGCTTTCTAGGGGTCGTTCTGGATTTACATGGTTTTGCTTGCATGCATAATGGCCAGAAATATAACCCCCACGTAAGATGCAAGTTACCTGTACTGTACTAGTAATTTTGGCTGTTCAGCTAAAGGTTGAAAGGTTCAGCTAACATCTGCAGTCCTAGGTAGCCCAATAAAAGTATCATCTCACCAGCTTTATGTCTTTTTTACAGAGGGTCCAACTTAACCAATACCATCTAACTCAAATATGTTTCTTATTGCAATTAGCACTGTAGGTGTACATCTAATGTTTTAGGCCAAACAAAATTAATAGTTGCTATTGCTGCTGTATCATTCTCAATGATAGGCAGTTGCCAAGAGATCAGAAATTATCCCAGGGGCATACTGTAAGTGTAGCGAGAGTTTGATATCTGATATGTAAGCGTATTAGGACAACGCACTTTAATTTGATGTTCAAACAAGGTTTACTTACCCCATTCTTCCATATGCTTTGCTATATTTTGGATCTATTGCTATAGCTCTTTCACAGTCCGTTATTGCTTCATTATGGTTACTCAACTTACTTTGAGCAGCAGCTCTGAAGTGAAAAAGAACAAGAACAAAGAAGGCAGCTAAGAAAAGTGTATATCAACAACGAGACTATCCATCCACTCATCAACTCAATCCAGTAATGTTGACATCCTAACATTTAAACTAATTTGCAGCCCAATCCTAATCATGTTTTCTTGGAAATTAATTCCAATCAATCTCAGCGGAGCTTAATTCCAAGCAAATATATTTAGCATTGCAACCCTATCCCCAGCAAAGTCACCTGAACAAAACTAACTTCGCAATGGACTGAACTGGACTACTTAAGGAAATATAGTGGAGTTTTTATAGGGGGGAACCATGCTGGTGATCAAACAAGGACAAGAGTTTGGAGCCGTGTTCTGGGGAAGTGTAGACATATAGTAGAACTGATATAATTCATTGTTCCAAGTTTATTTACCTGTTGCAATAATAGACTGCATTATTTGGATCCAATTCTATAGCCTGAGTATAACAATCCACTGCAGCACCATAATTTTCTTCCTTCATGTGATTATTACCTGAAATAAATTGCAACAATAAAATTTTGTGGATAATTGGAATGCTGATGTATTAAACAACAGCCACAGATTGTTATAAACTACACCACATAAAGCACTTTTATGACTCTGTTGCCCTTTGCAACTGTCTTTTCAGAAACAAATTGCTTTCAGCAGTATAACGCATGCCAAGTAGAACTATGCATGCCTTTTCCATGCAATTTTCCTTGATACAAAATGACACAACATATGACCTTTGCTTGTGGAAATTCAAGAGATATCGTCATTTTAAACAAGGAGGAAAATGGGTAGAATAAGCGAGTCAGTATAGTTTGGTAGCTAGAGTACTATAACTGTATCTGAAAGCTTTGTGTTTAGATGCCATGTCATAAATGAGTGGGGGCCTGGGACATATCACAGAACTGCAGCCTTGGTGCCCCCAAATCTCTAAAATAGGAAAAGCTTTTATTACCTATTTCATAGGCCTACAGCATGGGTGAATGGGGTAACAACTGTAAGGATTTGCAGTATATATAAAATATTTAACAGTTACTCAATATATCTGTTCCATCTCTCTGTTCCATCTGAATCAGGAGGGACAGTGGAGGTGGGAGCTTGGAGATGGCGATGGGATTTATGTAGGTCAATAAAATGAAGCTGAATCCTGAAAAAACTAAGTTGGTATGTTTCCTGAGTTATCACATCAGGGAGGTGTGAAGATGGCCTGTTCTGGATGATACCACACTCCTCTGGAAGGAGCAGTTTGGCAGTGCTCCTGGATTCAACACTGCCACTGCGAGCTTATCCCTCACAGAGTTACAATTCCCATCAACCCTTAATGAACTACAGTGCCCAGCATTCTGGGTGGGGGAGCAGAACATGCCTTAAAGGTGTCGCTTGCAATCAGCACACAACAGAGACAGGGAACCTAACTCACTTTTATGGAAGTAAGTCTTACTAAATTCAGTGGGATTATTTCCAAACAGAGCTGCAAGTGTATTAAAGAAATGTTAATCTACTAATTAGATAGGCAATTAAATTTGCACACAGGCACAAATCATATTTCTGAAGCAATAAGTATTTTGTTCTATTTATTTTTATTTTGTATGGTGATAATAAAACACCTGGGGGGCAGGAATCACCCAACAAGCCCTTTCAGTGGAAGCCATGCACAAGGACTTCTGCTTGTGTAGCGTGGCTTCTCCCCCTGGTTCTCCCCCATGGCCACCCCAAATTTGGCTCCAAGGGAGGTCAGAAGAACCTCCAGAACAGTGTAGGTGATGGGGAGGGAGGAGAATGGAGGATTATTCCATCCGGCAAGCTGAAAATCTTATGCTGTCAGAGCAATTTCAAGAGTGTGACACTGAATTCCTCCCTTGTTTAATAGCAGTTACCTTCTCAGAAGACACACACTCTCTGTGTAAGAGAGAAGGGAGACTGCCTCTTCCAAGACTGAACTACTCACCCACAGTTTTTTTTATACAAGTTTGTATTAAAATATATATTTTAACTGCTGCCCAGTTAAATGAGGGAATCTTTTTAGTAGTTTAGAAGTTTTTAATTGAATGAGTCCAGCTCACTAACTTTGCAGGCCTATTTCCAAGTAAGGATTGCGCTCTACATTTAAGTGTTCCTGTGCTTTTTCATTTCCTCCAGAGCAGCCAGCAGACTATTCCTTTCTATTATACAGCATCTAATGCAATACCCAACAGTTCTCTACTAACAGGGTTGGCTAGAAGCCTGAATAGCTGTGCATCATTCATGAACCATACTTCAATATGGCCGACAACTGAACTACGAAAGCTATGGCAAAATGGAATGGTATGTTTACTTCTTCTCAGTTACATACCTTCATCCTTCAGCTGGTCAGCTTTCTCAAGATCCTCTGGCAAAGAATCTGAGAGAGGCAGTATCTCATTCTATATGAATTTTAAAGAAAGGTAAATCTCATTTTTTAAATAATCTTATCTAGATTTAGCTACCTCTATTACCAATCTTAAATGGAAATTTAGCCAGAGTGGGCCTATCAGCAATGAGCAGGCTAATAAGCTGATATTAGCTTATTATGCAAGGTACAGATGAGGGCAAGAAAAATCAATTGGTATAAAGGATATGACTCTCGTTTTTAAGTGCATCAGGGAACTGAGACACCAATCAAAATAATATAGTAATCTGGAATATTTAAGTATGAATTGCATTTACTGCACTGGGTTTTAAAACAAAACATCAAGCTCTTGGGTGTGCAAGTGTACCAATCCATGCTGAACTCAGTTGCATGCAGCCAGCTTCTACATTGATTATCTATCTGAGCACGTGACTGTCTTCTGCCCAAAACAAGTGGTAAATATTGCCAAACCTGTTTAATAAATATGCAGATTCTTGCATGCAGCTCAACGCTGGGTGCCAGAAATTTGTAATCTAGCTGTTAACTCAGTAACAGGTACCTGACCCTCAGAACGTTTGTACCCATATAAAAGTCTTATTTATTTTAAAATTAAACACTTGCTTTCAAGTAAAAATTTGGCACACACATATCAGGATAGCGACTACTGCGTATTTATTCATTTTTAGTTCATCTGTACGTATATATTTACTTATTACTGAAGCCTCTTTTGAGAGATTGCCAGTGTTTGAACAATCATTATTTTGGCTTAATAAGATGAAATATGAATGAACCTTTTACCTGCACATGCAGTTTGTTCTGCTACCCTTTACTGGCCTGAATGAAACATGGTAGTCTCTTGTCCAAACCAGGAGACTGACTATACTTACCAGCCTTGGAACAAGACAGGATAGAACAAGACTACAAGTTTAAGTAAGCCTCAATACATGGTTTAAGATTCTGGTTTGTTCCAAAGATGGTGATCACCAAGTTTTCCTGTTCAAACTATGGTTCACTGGTGGCTTCTTCATTGAATTCAGGCATGTTGCAAAAGCGGTAGAAAAAGAGTTGCATGTGAGGCTCTTTGTTCTTAGCTTATTAAGGGCAGATATGATTGTCTGAACCAGACCACTAGTCCCTTTTCTTCAACTAACATGCTAGAACTAAAACCTCCTAAGAAAACAAAAAAACTGTGCCCTGTTAAAATTATTTAAGTTATAAACATATCTGCTCCAATACAATCTTACCTTGTGACAAGAATCTTCAAACATTTCTGTCAAACGTATAGGTACTGCAAGATGGGAATCCTCCAAATTAATTTTAAAGACTGTCTCCAAACACTGAATTGCCACTGTAGAGAAATATGTTTTGTTTTGTTTTTTAAAAAGGAAACCACCTGTTAATTTACCAATATATACGAGTAACACAAATTCTTCATTCCATGCCTTATAATGACAATTCACTAACACCAGAATCAAACCCACAGTTGTGGAAGGGTGACCATATGTATGCCATGATAGAGGAAAGGCAGGATATTAATGGCAGAAAACAAAGAACTTGAAAGAAATCAGAGGTGGATTTTGGCAGCTAAGTCTGTGCAAATCAGCAAATTTAACATGTAGTGGATCAATAAAGCACTGCCTTCTCTCAGTCAACACCAATTGACCCAGACTCAGTTGACGAACCTGGCCACAGGAACATGCTTCATCAATAAGTACTTATAGATTTAAGTAGTTATTTATAAGTACTAGTCAGCTTTCTCAGCCTCCATCAAAAGGCAATTTGGATTAGAATTTCTTTGGAAATGTACTTCATATGGGGAAAAATAATGGTGTGACTGTTGGTATCACGTCTTCCTAGTTTCTAAGTCAACTACACCCATTGGCCACCTTCACAAGAAATGGTAAACCATGGTTTAACGCTATGAGCCTGACCTAGAACAAGCCTGAGGGGATCCTTAGGCTCTCACAAACCTCCCTCCTGCCTCACAACTTTGGCAGCATTTAGTCTTATTTTCCCTGAAACTTGGCTTGTTGTGTCATCTGGACTGAGGACTGAAATTTATAACAAACTAATCAAGTCAGCTGGAGAACCCATGGTTTGAATTGGGTTTGCTTCTATACCGATCAGAGACCAACGACATTCATGTACTCCTACAGTGTCAACTCTTTCCAACAGGCAACACGAGCTGGGCAATCATTCCTCTCTATGGCTAAATAAGGACAGACTGGACCTATTTTGATAACTTGCAATATTTCTCTCTCTCTCTCTCTAACGTCACAAAAATCTTTGATTTAACAAAAGTGCATGTGTTATCCAAGCAAGAAAAGCAAACGAACATATCATCTGCACAACTTCCATTAGTACCAAAGGTGCAGAGTTTCTAAAATAATAACGGGCCTTCTAGAACAAACTGCATCATCTGTTTGCAATTGCTATAAAGCACTCTGACCTCCTGGGATGGAACAGTCTAAAATAAACAAATGGTTTCAAATAAAAGTTTATTTAGGTTTGTGATACTTCCAAACAATTTTCTGGAATTCAGAATGGTTTTATAGGATATCAACGTTACTTTGCTGTTAAAGAATAATGAGCATGTTTTGTAGTAAAACTATTGCAACAGCTTCACTATTCCCCTACCCCTTACTCCAAAAAGTTCAGGTAATGTACATCAGCCTTCCCCAAACTGCTGCCCCCTCCTGTTTTGGACGAAAACTCCCATCAGTTGCAACCAGCATGGCCAATAATCGTAGGATGATGAGAGCTATAGCACAAAACATGTAGAGGGACACCACAATGCAGGAAGCTAATGTATACTGATACTCTCTCACAACAAACCTGTGAGGTTAGGGCTTGGCGTCAGCTGGTAAGATTTGCAGTTCAGGTTGGATTTTAACCTGGGTTTCCCCAAGATGAGTACAACACTGTATATTTACTACACTACACTGCTTTTGTTTTGGAAAAGGAAACTTTTAATCTGGAATTATTTCCAAACCTTTCCAAAAAAACCTGTCAATTGTTTATTTATTTTAACAAACTTTTCCTAACGAAAAGCCAAGCTGCCTTCTTTTTTATTGCTGAGATGCTTTCCAAGCCAACAAGCTCAACATGGAATTACACCCTCAATCTTTGCAGGCCCGCAAGGCCTAAAAAACCCCAAATACACATTCCCCCAGCAAAACTGCATTTGATGTTAAGAAAAAACCTGCAAAAAACAAGGGAGTATGCCAGAGTGGCACATGACACAAGGGCAGAGCAGCACTCACTGGCATGGGGAAAAGGGCACAACAGTAAGTATTGGCCCCTCCAAAATAGAAGCAGCCCACAGGTGCGCACCTGTGCAGCCACTGCCAACTCATGAGTTCCCTGGACCTCTGCCCTGCCTTTCCCATTCCTGGGGAGTGGCATCACCACTTGAAGGGCACCACTGATGCTCCATCTCCCGCCAACCCCCATATATTACTCCTGGGAGTATGGCAAGGTAGGGATGAAGGGACTTCTACTGCAGATTCTTCCATGCATGAAGTTGCTCAATTCCTGCTGCCCATACTAGGAATTGGTACTCGGCTGGTCAAGGTACGTGCTGTGCCAAGGAACTCAGAATTCCCATATATTTATGTAGGAGAGTGTAAAAGGTCTTGTAAGTCATACAAAGGGCCTCGATTGCCATGCAATTTGTGATGCCTGCCTGATTAGTCCCATCATCTTGCTGCACCCACTTTGCTTAATAGGTCATGACTCCTCTTTGCTTCTGTATAAGCTTCCTATTCCTGTCTATGCCCTCAATCTGTGCAAGCAGTCACACTACAGTGGTACCTTGGGTTAAGTACTTAATTTGTTCTGGAGGTCTGTTCTTTACCTGAAACTGTTCTTAACCTGAAGCACCACTTTAGCTAATGAAGCCTCCTGCTGCCGCCGCACCGCCGGAGCACAATTTCTGTTCTTATCCTGAAGCAAAGTTCTTAACCCAAGGTGATATTTCTGGGTTAGCGGAGTCTGTAACCTGAAGCGTATGTAACCTGAAGCGTATGTAACCTGAGGTACCAGTGGGAAGCCTGTGACGTGCCAGATGAACGCTGGACTTCAGCTTCTACCATCCCTGACCAGTGGCAATGCTGGCTGGGGATAATGGGAGTTGGAGCCCCAAAAATTTGGAAAGTCCCATGTTCCCCATCCCTATCTATAGCCTGATCCATAGCCTTCTCAATATAGCTTCTCATGAAGCTATATTGCTTCATGCTCTGCTTGAGCTTTAACATATCTCTTTCCCTGCTACTTAATCTCACTGTATGCTTGGATTGCTTACACTGAGAAAAATTCTACTGTCTAATCAAGCACAAATTTCCTAATCCCTCAACATGTCAATTCCATTTGACTCTATCTTGCTGGGTTATGCCTATGCAAGTATTGCAGTTCACTGTTCTGAACAAAAGGGGGCCACCACTGAAAAGGCTTGATCCTGTGTTGCCATCTGCCAAACCTCCTGTAGAGGAGGAACATGAAGCAGTGCCTCAGATGATCTCAGGATCCAGGTCAGTTCATTTACAGCCTAGCAATCACACATCTACATCCAGTGCAGAATAAGACAATTTCATGTATGTAATGAATCTGCTGTTGGCCCACAGATGGCTGCCAAATGAACTATGGCTTTGCCATCATCTCCTTTCAACTCTCGGGTAGGAAGTACCCTGGGAAACTCCAGTTGACTACAGGCGGGATGGGAGTCACTCCCAGCTGAAATTCCCTCAACATAGAGAGGCAGACCTAGAGCTAAGCCTCTCTATCCTTGCCTTTGATCTAAGCATGTCACATGGAAGACTTTACTGTGCCTCTGTGGTGTATGACGCAAGAAATATGAGCCTCACCAGCCTCCAGAAGCAATTTTTGGCTACCAAGCCCACCCAGTTTGTGGTTTCCTGCCAACTGAGCCTCATTGTTGCTCCATTTAACTAAGAACATAAGGATCAGGCCAATGGGACATCTACTGCAGCATCCTGTTCTCATAGTGGTTGCTCAGATGCCTGCAGGAAACCTGGATGCAAGACCCGAGCACGAGAGAATTCTCTCTTGTGGTTTCCAGAAACTGGTATTTAAAAGCCTTGCTGTTTCTGATAATGGAGACAGATCATAGCCATCATGGCTAGTTGCCATTGATAAGCCTTATCCTTTATATATTTGTCCAATCCTCTTTTAAAGCCACCCTAGTTGGCGTCCATTGCTGCTTCCATCACTGACTCCTGTGGGAGTGAGTTCCACAGTTTAAGTATGCACAGCATGTAGAAGTACTTTCTCTTATCTGTCTCGAATCTTCCAACATTCAGGAAGACAAAACAGGCGCCAGGTCTGGCTGCCCACTGCAATCTGACCCAGCTCTCTCCAGGGGTTACGCACTGCAAGGGAACATTGGTTGTGTTTCGACAAGCTGTCTTTCTGGGAAGTCTGTCTGCTATTAGTCATCTTCTAACAAGGTGTCTCTGCTTGAAAACCTCCAGCACAGAATAAAACAAACACAGCTTTAATGCCTCTCTTGGTTTTCACACATTTGACATCAACACTTCCATCAGGCATCATGACTCTTCAGTCATCACCACAAACCTTCCAAGCTTTCTTGTTCATCTGATGTGAATGCATCCATCTGACTCTGTTCTCGCAAGAAATGGATGACAGCATATACAAGGCGTTTGACAGAAGACATTTTCAAGGTCTGTGAAGCTCCCCTGAATCACAAAAGTAAGAACAATCAAATTAGTTCTAAGGAAATACAGGGAAACCCAGTAAAACTGAGAACACAAAAGCTTTTAGATTTCAACAACAGTTTTTCTGGATGCTACTTTACTGAATTATGCTGAAGCTAGAAGAGTTTGTTGTGGATAATGAAGACTATAGGGCTCTTCCCACTCCAACATTTTTTTTTTTAAATTCAGTTAAGTAGTATTGCATTAACCAATCCTTTTTGCTTTCCCCCATTGCTGTTCCTCTCCAAAAACCAAAACAGGGAAGGGATAAGGCATGGGTCGGCAAACTAAGGTCTGCGGGCCGGATCAGGCCCAATTGCCTTCTGGATCCGGCCCGTGGATGGTCCAGGAATCGCTGCGTGGATCGCCAGCACACACACTCTTTCCCTTTTCCTCCCTCGGTGGTGGCGCCGGCACCTCCTCCCTCCCTCCCTCCTGGCTTTTCCCCACCCTGCCTAGAGGAGGAAGGGGGCTGGGCTTTGTTGGTGCCAGCAGCAGCAGTGCTCAAGCGGCCGCCATTTTAAGCAGCCCTTATCCGGAGCCCTTTCGTGCACCGCTCATCGTCCCCTCGCTGCTGCTGTCAGGCCCTGCAACTCGCAAGACACAGGTAAGCAGCCACCAGGGCTTGTCTGGTGCTGTGGAGAAGGGAGGGGAAAGTCAGGGGAGATGGCTTATAGTCTGGCCTTCCACAAAGCCCCCTGTTGAAAAAATTTGCTGACACCTGGGATAAGGAGTGCTTATAGAAAGACAGGGTCCTCGCCCCCCAGGCCTTGGGCACCGATAAATTCATCAAATTACCTTTTATCTTCTTAACTGACTTTGCCCCTCTGCCTTGCTACCATCTGTAGACTGAGAGAAGAGCTTCAACCGATCATGCACACAGCTGATTTGTTGGGATTTGCCTCTCAACATGCAACTGCTGCACTTCAAAGAGCCAAAATGTGGGGATGCAGGAAGCAGTTAAGCCTGTTAAGCTCTCTATTTCCCTGCATGAGGACTGAGGGAATAACTAAGAATCTCACAGCATACTCAGACTAACCAATTTATAATGACCAAAGCTTTTGTGGCTTAGAGACATGAAGTGTCACCCTCAGCTGGCAGGTATGCATACAAATGGGTGCAATGTATTGTGGGTTTTATTCTTTTTTTATATATATTTGAAAATCAGTGAAAACATCATGCTTTTTTAAAAAAAATGGGCACAAAAGGGAGGAAACGTAGTAGTTGGAAATGACACGGAACCAAGCGCTGATCAACAATATACAATTTATCAAGTAGGTCAATTCTGTTCATTTGGATCTGAGTAGAGACAATGATTTCATTTCGCAACACAGAAATTAATTTCCTGACTCTGGAATTTCTAGATTTTTCTTCTGGGTCTTTTCTTCTGCCCTATGGTAAAAAAGGTAAGGTTAAGGGACCCCTGGACAGTTAAGTTCAGTCAAAGGAGACTATGGGGTGCAGCGCTCATCTCACTTCAGGCCAAGGGAGCCAGCATTTATGCTGGTAGGAACCTGGCTGTGCTGGCATTGCTACCCAACACTGTCTGCCTGCTGGGGTGGAGCATATTCATACCGGTAGTTCTATCAACTATATGCATGGATTTGGTTGGGTTGCAATATTGACTTCTGGGAGGGGTTAAAGTGAGAAAGAGAGAGGTTGCTGCAGTTTGGGTACAGTTTCCCCAAAGAGCAGAGCTGGGGTGTGTTTCCTGGTCTGTTCAAGTGTTCTTCCTAGTTCTCAAAATATGGAGGCTATTATTTTTAATAACCTTTTATTGGATTTTATAAACAAGGACCGTAGGAATAATAATACAAATAAATATACCAAGTCTTCTTATTTCATTTGTATATCACAAAAATAGCATAATAAATTTTCAGTAATACCTACAATATATGGTTCATGATTAGTGATCAATGTGTAAGTTCTTGGTTCGTGAATTTAAACAAAAACAAAGAACAGAGATAACAGGTAACATTCAGCATCACATAGCCGAACATCCAATCAGGAGCCCTTGTGATTGTACTTAGAATAAGTATGAGTAATAGTCATTTTCCCTCTAATTTTACCAATGAAACAATATCAAGTGTTGGTCTATTTATGAATGCAGGAGGGAAGACAATAATTTATGTTTCAATAAAATTGAGATAAACCAGACTGAGCCAAATGTTGTACATTTTCTGGACTGCTGGCATATGGAGGCTATGATGATCTATGCTTGGTGGCTCATACTCAGAGGCCAGGGGCGTGAGTCATAGTGCTAAGATTCTGTGAACCTTGAGGGGGTTAAGATGGGGCGAGCTTGGGTTCCAAGTGAGCTTTTAGAAATTGCTTGAAGCCTGAGTTTCCAGGGGTGGGGGCGGAAGCTTGGCACATTACATATCCTTAAGGGAACTCTTTTCTTCATTTAACGGCAAACCAAATCCCAGTGCTGAAGAATGAGTGCACTCACCACCGGAGATGAGAACTCAGACTACATGTTGCTGGGCTCAAGATGTTCACGAAAGACAGCAGGTCTGTCACTATGGATCTTATGTCTACTGTGAGGCTGCATTTTGGGTTTTGCTGAGGCATGCACTTTATTTATTTATTTAAAACATGTCTAAACCATCTTTCAATTAGATATTCCCGAGGCAGTTTAGATTGTTAGGGGGGAAACAAAAAACAAATGAAACGACAACAATCGATAAAACATTTTGCAAGTAAAAGGAAGCTTCCTGGTAAATATTTCGAGCTCTTCCTATCACCATCCTACAGCAACTCACATGCACATTCCAGCTAGGCCTCAGGCTGGCCATGGTTATTTACACAATGCATAAGCATATTAGCCCTGGGCAAGAGATGAAAGGATGAAAACAGCAGCAGCTGCCCCACCCACCCCCAAAACATCCACCAACTACCTCCAATGTATGGAATCTCCTTAAGGACTCTGGAAAAGCACTATGCTCACTGATGCTGCTATAGAACTAAATTATTACTAATAATAATTTATCACCTATCAATGCAGCCCAAAATTGCTTTCCACGTTGTTGTTTTAAATGAACCACACAACTGAACCGATGGAAATGGCAAAGGGAAACATGCCCTTTTATGAAAATAAATATAATAACTGTCTTCTTCCAACATAGACCTGCCCTTTAGGATGAAGACTAGAACATGGTGACCTCAATGCAAACTTGTGATTAGTGACACAGTGCTGACTCAGAGCTTCATTTGCATCCAGCATCTTCTCTGTTAGAAATTATGTAACTTATGGGAAATTTTTCCCAGTACAACTTCATAGGTTCTCCTCCTCCCCACCGCCCGCTGCCAAATTCACCCTGAAAAGACTTCATAATACCGATGCTAAAAATACTGATTGCACTATTAAGGCTGATGATGAACATCCAAAGGGTTGCTAGCCAATGGCGAAGCAAGAAGTATTGTCATATAATAAACGGTGTGTTTGTTTTAATGGTGGCGCAGCCCACTTGAGGCAAATGTTGCCGAGCGCAGGAGGATGCAGCGTGTCCTTAATAACGGCAGCATTTTGCATCCCCCGGTGCACTTTATGGAGTTATATAACTGGCCGCTTCTATTTCGGAAAACGTTATTCCTTGGGAATGCTTTCGGCAGGTTCCCCCTGGCTCGCCCACATACGCACATTTGGCAGGTGGACAGCTTCAGGGCTGGGAGCCCACGAGCCCAGGACAGTCATGCAATGCGTACCCAACGCGGGAGAAACCCTGCCTAGGAAACCTGACACAAACACCTCCGCTCGCCCATTTTCTCCATCTGGCGAGGCTACGTCCACCTCAGGTGCGCCAGCCAGACCGAGATCGCCCCGGACGCTAAGGCGGGAGACGGCGAGCTCCCTGAGGGGTGGGGTGCGAGGCGAAGACCTGCAAAAGGGGGAAGGAAAGCGACGGGGATGCTGGGCGCCCTTCCTCACCAACATGCGCACCAACATCTGGGAGAGCCAGATGTTCGCCCCGTCCCTCCTTCTTGCACGGGCGGCTACGGCGGCAGCAGCAGCCTCTCTGCGGCTTTTGCGCGGCACACTCCATGCAGAAGGGCAGGGCAATGGCAGAAGAGCTTACCGCGCCAGCAGGATCAGGAGGAGGAGGAGGAAGACCGGGCGGGCGGAGCAATGGCTGTCCGCTACCAAGCTGCTTTCGTCCGCCGCCGCCGCTGCTGCTATGAGAGGCACAAACTTGTCCCCGGCTCGCTCCCGAGGCGTTGTTGTCGTCCGTGTGAGAGGGAGTGAGGGAAGGCGGGCGGGCGCGTGCCTGAAGGGGGCGCGCCTGCGCGCGCGGCGGCGGCGGCGGCGGGAACGAGACCTGGCCCGGCGGAAGTGAATGCGCAGCTCGGCTGGGCGGCGAGTGCGCGAAGCGGCGGCGGCGGCTGCAGGCGCACGTGGGGGGAGCTGTGCGTGCGCCCCGGCAGGCGGCGAAGGGAGCTGGGAGCGGCCGGCGCGTGGGAGCCGAGAGGGGGGCGTCCTTGGCTGGGAGCGGGGCTGCTTTTCCTCGCCTGGCTTCCCTTCATGCTGTCCTTGGGCGTCTCCGCGGGCCGAAGCTTCTGCAGGTACCCCGTGCAAGAAAGACCTCGCCTCACCTGCAAAGGAGTAAGGCGGCAGCGGGAGGGTCTCGGGTGGGATCCGTTCGCCCCGCGTGGTATCTGAAGGACGCTGGTGGGAGGGGGTCTGGCTGTCTTTTCCCCCTCCTGGCCGCAATATCTTTTGTGTGGCACAAGTGCATTAAGCGGCCATGCCCTCCCTTCCGCGGTGGGAGTAGCCGTTTGGTAAAATCGCTCCTTTATAGGTTAACCTCCCTATCGCCTTCCCTTCAACTGTTTCCAGCGCTCGTTTCTTCCTTCAGATGCTCGCTGCTAAGGAAGAAAGCCATACCTTATTCTTAAGGGTGTTTCAAATAGACGCAGAGGAGGGAATCGCTGCAGTTTAGGAGTTGTCATCCCTGAAAAAGAAGATCCCACCCCACCCCACTTCAGCCCTCTTGACCATATTGGCCACCCTCTCCTCCCTTTAGGTGCCACAATTTTAGCAAGCCTCCGGCACTCAGAATGTGACGGAAACTATCGAACACGCAAAAAGGGAAAAAAAGGGGGGGCACACTATGGGAATCTCTTTATTGTGACATGAGCCTTTGCAGGCAGGAACCTGCATTCATGTGGGATGCATGCAAGGAACATCTTATGTATATTGAGTCCACATGTCATGATTTCAGTACCATTAGATTTCTAGATTAATCTTTAATGGACCAATTGGGTATATGCCTTCACTGGATTGCAGTTTGAGAAGTAGGATTAAAGAGCACCCAAATGTGCCTGCCTTGACTGCATGAGATCCCTTACTTAATACTGTAATACAATACAGTTTCTGACACACTTTAATCTAGAACAGTGACAAAAGGGCTCAGTTCAGTAATCATTTAGCAAAAGCATTAAGTTGCTCGTGAATTTTGGAGTTAATTTATTGAAATGTGCTTAGCTGCATTTGTAACAGACATGCTTGTATATTTAATATATGATTGAGAAACCTGTAAAGCTATTGTTCTTGTCTTTATGAGCTAGAGTGATTATAACAGTCTGCCTATATATAATATGCTATGGTCCTATACATATTTTACAGTGATGAAGATACAGGCTAAAAAATAATAATTTCTAAGACACTATCTGTGTTACTAATGAGGGTGGTTGCAGGTTTTAGATGCCGTTTGAATAAGCATGACTCTGTGACATATTCTGAAATCATTGCTTTATTCCAGCAGCCATTCCTTTGCCAATTTAGTCTTGCCTAAATCCATTAGTGGACCTGAATTTACACAGTTCTGCTTAGGATCTGGCAGTAAATCAGTGCATGTTAAATATCTGATACATGAAAGACAGATGAGTGAATCTTACAGGAGAACTTAGATATGTACAGAGTGTCTTGAGTTTGACGTAAGTAAAGTTTCATCTCTGCACGAGGCATAAATAATACAATGCTGCTTGTTGTCCCGAAGCCGTTCTTCATATTTTCAGCAGTGCTTCTGTCACCAGTCCCTATGAAGTTATTTTCTAGTACTAGAGATGAGAGTAAATGGCCTTTATCATTGGTTGAATGTTTGTGGGATAATGCTTGGTTAGACTTCTTAAGGTCAGGGAGTGAGTGTAGCAAATGAGAGCAACAGAACCGTCCTCATTTTCCTTTATATGTGCATGTACTAGTTGCAGTGGTTAATTGCATGGCCAAGGAACGCCACATCTGCAGAAAAAGTTTTTCAAGCTCTTAATATGGAGATACTCTGTGAGCACCCTCCAAAAATAGCTGTCTGTTCTTCCTGCTCTTTAATTGAAAGCCACAGAGTGTGATCTAATCCCTAAGCTGCGCCCAGTCCTAAATTCCCCTTGAATGCCCAACACGACATCAGTACAGTGAATTTATGCCAGGTGATCTAACTCTAGATCTTCTTTGGTTTCTTATGGGATGCAGTGATGGGGAACACTGCACTTGCTACTCAGCTAACCCTTGGGCATATTTCAGAAGTACACGGACCATGCAAGATTGACAGTCCCATGATTCTGTGAACCTGTCAGAATTCATCCCGCTAGTGCGGTTATTCAATAAAAGCTGTCTGCATTAGATGTGTGTGTGTGTTCTCCAGATGTTAGCCCTCCTTCCTGCCATTGTTACTCAGCTTGGGTGTCTTAATGGTTAGGGCCCTATAATGAAAGAAGGCAGTGGTGTTTGTCACCCTACCAGGGCTTTGGATCTGCAACTTGTCTATGGCTCTGCCAATGGATAACAGCTCAATGTTCTCCTGTAACAGCCCCTTCAGCAGTTACTTCCGGTGGGGCTTGATAATAAGGTATGGCGGGGGAATGGACTAATAAACTGATGCTCAGTACGGGTGAGACAGAGGTGCTGTGGTTGGGTAGCTTATCGGCACAGAGAGTTCATGTTGTAATCAATACAGTCACCTTTTGCCTGAAGGAACAGGCTCACCATTTCAACGTTCTCATTGATGCATATTTGTCACTGAGGGCATAGGTTGCTTCTGTGGCATGAAGTGCCTGTTAGCAGCTTATATTGGTGTGCTAGATAAAGTCTGGACACAGAGAGAGTCTAACCATAACGTTCCGTGCTCTGCTACCCTCCAGGTTAGACTGTAATGTGCTCCATATGACGCCTTTGAAAAATGGCAGCTGGTTCAGAATGCAGCGCCTAGAATACTAAGTGGGACTGGTTGCCATGATCACATCACATTGGTGCTATTGTAGTGGTAAAGCTGGTTTTGACCCTTAAATCCCTTTACAGCCTAGGACTAGCCTATCTCCTCATGTGCCTACCCAAACGGTAGCATCTTCAGGACCAGGGGGAAGAAAGGCCTTCTCAGTAATGGCATCCAGTTATGGAATGCTGTCCCCAGAGAGATCTGCCTGGCAGCTGTTTTGTTGTCCTGTCAGTGCCAAGCAAATACCTCCTTGTTTTCCCAGGTCTTTAGAGTTAATTTTATCGCTGCCGATTGTATTTATATGGTGATTCCTGCCTTTTAGTCTTAACATTTTCTGATTATTACCTGTGCCTCCCCCCTTCTTCTTTCTTGTTCTTTTTGCATTTTCCTTTTATGCAAATCACACCAGCAATGCCTGTTGAAGGACAGTATATAATTTTAAATACTTTTTAAATACTTAAAACAGGCAGAGTTGCCATTTTGTCTCTAGCAAAAGGGTTGTTTGCAGGCTGTTCATTGCAGGCACAGGATTCCGTCCCTTGTCTAAAGAGAGCCCTGGAGTTTGTGGCTGCAGGGGTCAGTTGCTGCCCTTCTAACCATTGGGCCATGGAGCCTATCGCGCAGTAGATTCTCTGTACTGGTGGATTGCGTCTTGGCGGGGGCATAGACTGGATTCTGTGATAAGCTTACGGCACACCTGCTTTTATCCACTGTTGACTGGTTCCTTCCCTCCACAGGGTACTGCAGTAATGGTGGCGTTAGCAGGGATGCAGTGGAGTGGCTGCTGGCATTGTTTCATTCTTCTTCTTCCTTTATGCCGGTATTGTTTTGCTTTCTGCTCTGCCGCTGGGAATACATAGGATCACAATTACATGATGCTCCCACCGGATTGCCCTGCCCATCTTTTTGCAAGCTGCCAAATTCATTTTCACTTCTCCTGTTTATCAGGGGACTGCTTTGTTGGAGAGATAAGTAATTTGTACGTTTTGACATTTTAATCCATCGTTTGTATTTCCTGGTGTTGCTGTGGTTCAATTCCCAGGGTCTGGAGGTCTGTTGCTGAGATTAAATTTCAGCTTCACTTTACATTGTCAGGTTTCTCATGGTTACCTAAATCCTGATAACAGTTGCCATAAAAAGGTCTAATTGAAATCTGTGGTTGGAACTTCACCCCGCCCCTCAATAGCAGGCTTGAATGTGTTTTGGAGCATGAATTGTGGGATTGTGAGAACTCCTTTGTTTATTTATCCCTTGTACTTTTAGAGAAAATTGGAATAATGAGGGGGCAGTGGCCTGCTGGAAGCTTAGAAAGCAAATTTAGCCTTGGGAACAGAACTATTATGGGTAAGAGAGAAAACAGAAAAAATTACTTTCTCCACACTCAAGTCGCTGCCAAGCTATTACCTAAACCTTGTATGGCAGACAGTTTCCCTCCTGAAAGGCTGTTCTCCACACGCTGCCTCCCCCACACTTGGTTTTCCTAATGTTCTTTTATTCTGATACTACTATTGTTCCTTTTGTGTTACTATTGTGACAGACTGTGGAGGGGGTTGCCTTAACTGACCAGTCCCCATTTTTTAACTTATAGGCTGCTACCAGGCAGAATGGGTCTCTTTCTTTCTGTGCGAGAGAATATATGAACCCCAGGGTGATATGAAACAAAGTTTTACTCAAAATAGACCCACTGAAATGAATGGGCCTAACCTAAGCTTGGCTCTTTCCTAAAATGGATTGTTTGGCACTATCTTGTTGTTGTTGTTGTTGTTTAGTTGTTTAGTCGTGTCCGACTCTTCATGACCCTATGGACCAGAACACGCCAGGCACGCCTGTCTTCCACTGCCTCCCTCAGCTTTGTCAGACTCATGTTTGTAGCTTCGAGAACGCTGTCCAACCATCTCGTCCTCTGTCGTCCCCTTCTCCTTGTGCCCTCCATCTTTCCTAACATCAGGTTCTTTTCCAGGGAGTCTTCTCTTCTCATGAGGTAGCCAAAGTATTGGAGCCTCAGCTTCAGGATCTGTCCTTCCAGTGAGCACTCAGGGCTGATTTCCTTAAGAATGGATAGGTTTGATCTTCTTGCAGTCCATGGGACTCTCAAGAGTC